TGACTGATTACGTTGAACGCGTAATTCCCAATTATACAATGCAAAGGCTCGACTGTCGGGCCTCACGCGGGGTAATGCAATCCCGAGAACCAAAAATTTCTCTTCTAGGTTAGAAGACGAACGGAACTTGCAGTGAAAATGTGTTCCGAATTATGCAAGAAACGCATAGACCGCATGAACGCATTAGACGCATCAACTGCCTCAAGTCAAAAGAGAAGCAGTCAATGCGCTGGGAGGAGTGCTAAGAATTCAGTACGGTTAGTACACTCTAGGGAATTCATAGCTCTCTCGAAGCGCTCTCGAAGTGCGCAATAGCTAATTCGGAACGACTTTCTGTACTCTACGCGCTTTAGTCCCAGTCTACAATAGAGATTTAAGCCCTAAGCCTTAAGAAATTGACTAATCACAGTCGCGCATTCTGCTCACACTTGACCGTGATTGGCCAATTTCTTAAGTCCCAGTCTACAATAGAGATTTAAGCCCTAAGCCTTAAGAAATTGACTAATCACAGTCGCGCATTCTTCTCATACTTGACCGTGATTGGCCAATTTCTTAAAGCTCAGGGCTTAAATCATCTATTGTAGACTGGGACTAAGGCTTAGGGCTTAAATCTCTATTGTAGACTGGGACTTATGCGTAAATCGGAACGCACCCATAGTATATATAGACTGCGCGTTCCCTACTTCACTCGCGTGAAAACATGTGCCAACTTTAGAACGAGATAGCTGGTGTTCGCAGTGTCTTTATCGTCGAAATGAAGTAGTAGGGGTAAACAAAAGAGTAGAGGAACGATAGATAGACAGAGAAAGAGCTACTACGTAAGCATGTTGTCTCTTTCTCAGGTGTGCAAACGTCTGCAGCCACAATGCGCAGTCTATATATACTATGTCTATGGCTAGGTCTCGAAATCGCGCTACACTCGGCTGACACGACACACGACACGCGTCATATCGGTCTATCGTGAAGTAAACGGCAGGTGTATCGCACGTCGTGAGTTTAATTCATATATATTTTTCCGGGAAAATGAAGAGATCGCCGTTGAATAATGCTGCGCACGATGGCCGGCCGTATGTCGCAAAGCATACGCCATACAATTGGAAGTCGCGTGGTAACGCGAACAGTAGAGGTTACGAGCGTTTCTCCGTGAGCGGTGCAGAACCGCAGCCTTGCGACGACAATTTCATCTCCCTCAACGTAAGCACACCGACAACGCGACACGAAAAATATCATGCCACTAATCGGTACAGCCCCGCCGGCGGACGCGGCAGTCCAGGTGGTGGATACTATAACAATTATAGAAACAACTATCACGCCATGCCAAGGTCCAACTATAATAACCGATACTCCAACTATAAGCATTCCTCTGTGCAGTTCCATGGGCAAAAAAGAAAGGTAAGTGCTCGGCAGGCTGAGAAATTGTGTCAAAATAACATAGATTCTTCTATTTTACATAAAAGCACGTCATGATGAATATTATTAATAGTATAAAATTGTCTGACCGTGTATTTTATCTTTTTTTAGAGTTATAGAGGAACCCATAGGCAAATGAACGTATCAGCATACATAGACATAAATGCTTTTCTGGAAGATCCTTGGGAAGATCTAGTAAAAAAATTAAATGACTCGAAAAGCACATGTAGAAGTGAAGGGCCTGAGAATGAATCTTCATCAAGTTCAAAATGGGCCAATATTGATGTGATAGAAAAGTCTGAGAGCAAATTACCGAAACATACAAGCTTGGATGATTCAAAATGCCATCAGGAATGTGAAGAGGAATATTCTGCAGAAACGAGTTTTCATATGCAGAATACAGATCTTAGTCGGACATCAGAAGTCAACAATTTGGCAGAGTCAGAGTTTGGTGATATCTGCTCCAGTCAGGATTTGCCAAATGAGAGCACGTGCAGCAGCAACGACACAATTTCTGAACACACACAGGAGAACACTACTCGTCCAAGTGTATCTTTGATAGATACTGATCAGAAAGATATATAACAATTTTAAATGGGCGAAAAGAAAATGCATTATAGTACATAAAAGTACATACAAATGTATATATGGTCTTGTATATACAGGATGTTATGGTTAAGGTGTCCTTCATACATATAGAATGTATAACATTGAAAAGAAAAGTTATATATCTTTTTGTGAAATTTGCACTAGTTTTTGGATAACAAACAAAAATATCTAAGCAAATGAGCGTGTAAAAATTAGTAGGCTGGACTCGGTAGGCATGCAAAATCACTTATTTTCTTGATCTAACAACGGTGAACGTTGTCTGATGGATGGAGCAATGTGACACATGACACTGTGCCGAAAACAATTTTCAAGCAGCGAGCGGTCATTGTCTACGCGCCTTATCTGAGGCTTGCCGCTCGTTGCCTGACAATTGTTTTCCGGCGCAGTGCCATGCATCGCTTCATCTCTCGCCATCGGATGATGCCTACCATTGCTGGAACCAAGAAACAAGCTGCGTGACGTACCTATCATAGTATAACTAGTATGTTTACTTCGTCATTTGTTTGATTTGTCGATCCCTTCTGCGCATCCGTCATCTTCCTGGCCAGACCAATGAGAAGAAAGTTGTATTTGTTGTAGTATAGCTAGTATAGCTGTAGCGAGTATGTATACATACAGACGCCACTGAATCCTGACAAAAACCATGGAATACCATGTGATCGGGACCGACCCAGATAGCCAGTATGCTCAAGCAATGTATGGAAATAAAATGCCAGCAACTGATGCTGGTTCTTTGCTGGAAATATGAATTCAATGTTTGAGTGATTTAAATATAGCTAGCATAATGTTAACATATTGTCGTAGTTAAATGCACAGCTAAAGAGAGAGCACATCGAATAGGCATACTGTTAACAAAGAATTAGCATATATTGTTTTCAATTTTCTAACAGATATAAACATGTTATATCTGTTACATCTGACCAAGCACTTAATGCTAGCATAATGTTTGAATCATGCAAATGTTTCATTTCCGACACCAAATGCTAGCAAACAACAGCACCATAAACAACATAGATGCATAGCTAGATGCTAGCATTTTTCTTAGCAATGTGAAAGCAACTTGTGCTCACACTGGCTATCTGGGGAAAAGATCAAAGGGCCGACAGAGTAAATATATTAGTCATATACCTATCGAGCCCGGCCTATGTAGCCGACTCCTATGCGCTTAGTCGTTTAGACGTTTGAATTAATTACTAACTTTTAGAAAATTAAGATAACTGTTGTGAATATTACAAAATGCCTTGTCTTTTCAGCTCTACTTGAGCAGATGGACATCTTATGTACCCTGTGGATATGTATACAAAGTGTAAACTAATTTGCGCCTACTATTTATACAGTAATATTTCTCATGAAAAACTGAGTCAAAAAGTCATAAACCATTTTTTCGAATTATGCTTTATAAAGTAGTTGTTATTAATTAAGAAATCGCGAATCAGTATCAGTTTAAACAGACGCACGACGGACTACCACTACAGTGCACGGCTCACGTCAAGCACATTAGTAAATGTGCGGCTATATATATAATAAATAGTGGGTGCGAATTAGTTCTCATATATCCTGTATATAAGTATAGCGTCATGGAATTAAATGCGCTGATGATTTTTTACAGTTAAATTTTTTTAGAAATATATTAATAGTGTAATTATTGTGTATGTAAAATAGAACGTATTATTTTGCAGATTATATTTTCACAATTTGGCTGTGGAAAATCTTTAGCATTTATATTAACTAATATACATATGTGCAATTTTGTTGTACATATCTAAACTATCACGTGTGTATAGTAAACCTCAATTAATTAAACATCAATTTCGTAACAGAGTAGATCATTATTTAGAACCTAAATTATAAAAACCTACGTGAAATTTAGAATTTTATATAAAAAAGGGACAATTTGTTTATATTTTAGATTTATCTTCTCAGTTGTGAGTACTTAAAATTTACTTGAAATATTAACTTGATATACAAGTATAATTAAAATTAATTACCTTTTTAGAATGCATAAATACGCATAGCTTATTATTTTTATTATTTAGTTGTCTTGTGTATGCAGAGATAATTAATCATAATTTTATTAATTTTTAAATCTTTAAATTACAAACTTTTAAGTAAGTGTTTAAATTTACATTGAGTTACTTGAGTTACTGTGATCATATTTCGGAAGTTTATTTTTATGTAGAAATGTCCATATATAAAATCTGCATAGACAGCCAAGCCTGTAGAGAATAGATTTAAAAAAA